TTGCACATTTATTTATAAGAGTGTGTGTATGTATGTCTCCTTTCTCTTGTCCCCTTTTTAGTGTGTTCTTACTTTTAGGGAATTATTTTTTCTCTATTTTTCATGTCAACATTTTAAAGTGACCAATTGAAACTGTGTTCACTATTATAGTTCTGACCTCATCCTAATCGCCAATTTATCGAATTTGACCAATAGATGGCATAATTGTTCTATAATTGTTTTCATTGTTAATTGTAATGATCATTTGGTCTTCATGGGTTAATTAAAAACCATGACGAAAATTATGTCTGTGACGGACCGCCTGCCACCCCGACTGGGTGCCTTCATCAATCAATGCTCCTAGTGCTCACTGAAGACTCCAAGCACTCCACCAGACACCATCAGCACTGTAGCCCCCAAGCTGCTGTAGCCTGGCTGGGGGTCTTGCCGTCCCTTCCCACCCTGGACCAAACTCCTGGATCCAGCTCCCAGTGGAAAGGCCTCTCCTTCAAGAGAGTATAGCAGGTATAGCTGTGAAGCTTTTACAAGAGCTAGTGGTTATAACTTGTTTAGCAGGTCCCTAGAAACACAAGGCGAGACTTTATGTTGAGGGTAAAGCAGGACTGGACTTTTAATGGTGCCACACTGGCTTTTTTGACAATCCCCATGCAAGGGATACGCCCACATGGACATTGTTGGGGACAGGGACACAAACTGACAAACCAATAAGAACAGTGATTAAATGCATGACACTCCGACATACAATACAATAAGCCTTCTCCTTTCCTTAGGAGATAATTGAGTCAAGCACTATACTAAGCTCAATTATATCCAAACACAAAAACCCCCCACATTTTTACAAAAACCCCCAAATACGTTAAAACACATAGAATCCCCATAAAAGTTACATCTGATAGCCCTGATCTGGGTGACCAACATATCCAAAAATCACATAGCATATAAAAGACAGGGTGGGAAGTGCTAAAACACAATAAGCAATGTAATACTTAGATCTAAGCTTTAGTCTATATAGGAGACAAACTAGAATACTCGCATAGTGAAATATAGTTTGAGAGATATACGAAATGGCCAGATCTGCTCAAAACTACTCACATTTACCAGAGCCCCTTATAGCAGGCTCCGGTATAGGCGTGTAAATAAGGTGCATCCAGCTCGTTCAGCTGCCCCGCAAACCAAGTAAAGAATTTACAGGAAGCAGTGGAAAAATAGACATGATACTTTATTTTTCCTGAATGATAAAAAGCACAACGCGTTTCGACGTTGACCGTCTTTTTCAAGTGCATCATAAAATTACAATACAAACTAACATTTATACACAACATGTAATTGAATTTGGGCCCAAATCCGGCATTTGACCAGCACGTCACAGTTTCAGAATCAAGGGTGATGACTCATGCGTTCCAAACTTCCCTTCCGGTACGAGGATCTTGCGCTCCACATAACACTTCCGGTTATGTGTACTTGTGTACTCATAAACGGAACTCATATAGCTTGTGGGCTGAATTTCAAATGGGTATTTATTGAATTGTCCGTTCATATAGACGAAAGTCCCATACATATAAAGTATGTCCATAAACCAGATTTATCATATGGGATAATAAATAAAACAATGTTAATGCACTTCGTACCAAAATGGAATTCATATAACATATATAACTTGATTGGAAACTCAGGAAGAAATATAGCCCTTTTGATTTCAAATCATAATCAAAGGTAAAAAGGAGATAAAAAAAATGAATATATAAAAATGTTCTCCAAAGTTTGGATACATTAAACAATAAAAAGCTATAAAAAAATGTATATACAAAATATATAAAAACCTTAATAAGGCAATACACTGTATAATAGGGGTTAAATTATAATTAGACACAGATTAGTGTAACAGACTCCCAATCAATATTAAGGCCATTTGAAGTCATTGTGTCTAAATTAAAGATCCATTTAATTTATTTAAGATGGATTTAAGATGGATGTTACCCCTCTAATGACCTGAAATATGTTGAACACCAAAAAAATGACATCTGGATTTTTAAGTTCCAAAATAATTTTGTGACATGGTATGATTAGCATATCCCGTTCCACTGGCGTACATACCACGGTTGCGACCGGGCCGGTTTGCCATGCGACCAGGGTATGTACGCCATGGCGGCCAAGGCTGCATTTTGCCAGCCTCTTCTCGTTGGCGGCCCACGAGCTGGCCAACTCAGGGCACCCTGAGGTTTGCAGTGGGGTCACTTTGCAGGCAGGAGCATTCTCCCCCGAACACTCTGCTCAGCGCACTGCAGTGATGCCGGAGCTGGAATATGACATCACTCTGGCTCCAGTAAGCGGCGCACGAGGGGGCTGAATAATAACCGGCTGCCCAGCAGCCCCACTGGAACCCAGGGAAAGCTGAAATTCCCTCAGCACTCCCAAAGGTAGGGAAGCTGGGGGATTAAATAAATATATATATATATATATATATATATATATATATAAAAAAAAAAAGTCAGTGAGTTTGTATCTGTATGTCTGTCAGTAAATGTGTGTGTCTGTATATCTGTGTGCCTTTATGGGTATCTGTATGTGTATCTGAATGTTTGTCATTCAAGGACCACTATAGTGCCAGGAAAACAAACACTCATTTTCCTGGCACGATATAGTCCATAAGTTCCACCCACCTTGTGGCCCCCTCCTGCTGGGCTGAAGGGGTTAAAACCCTTCAGCAGTTACCTTTCTCCAGCTCTGGGCTCCCTCTGCGATAGGGATCTTTCCGCCACTTGGCTCATAATGCACATGTTCATTCAAACCACCATAGGTGAGCATTACTCAATGTGACACAGTGAGAATGGCAGAAGCACCTCTAGAGGTTGTCAGTGAGACAGCTACTAGAGGCTGGATTCTGATAATGTATTTGTTACCTTAAAGTGTGTGTGTGTGTGTGTGTGTGTATATATACATATACACACACACACACAACGAGATCAACATACATCATAAGTGACGGAGTCCATATATATATATATATATATATATATATATATAATCTATATTATTGTAACGAATGCTGGTATATCCTATACCCGTTCGTCTGTTTCCTTCCGAACAGCCAGAGCATGAGTGATTATAACTTGCAGTTTGAGAATTGAAGTGAACGATTCTTCATACAAAATAACAGCTTCCAAAGTAGATTCTCCCAGTAGAGGTATTAGACATGTACCCAAACATCAGTCGAAACTAGATGAAGGGTGTATCAGAACTGAATTTTAATGGGTGCTACACTGGCCTTTATGCAAGTCCCCATGCAAGGGGACTTCCCATGTGGACCTTCTGGGGCACAAATACAGGATAAAATTGTGACACTCCCAGTACAAACATAATCCCCTCCTCTCTGCCTGGAGATAAGTGGGTCAGATAACTATCTCCAAGCAGAAAATTTACAATTTCCCCAAAATGTGAAATGTACCCAAAAACATACAATATTCTCACAAAAGTAACCCTGATCTGGGTGACCAACATATCCAAAAGTCACCCAGATCCATTCAGGGGCTTTCAAATTCTATGGAAGTCTTAGGTAACCAGCCCCACACAAGGCTCCTGCCTGCCCAAAACCGTTACATAAGTTTTAGTGGTTTGGCTATTTCGTGAAGTAAAAAAAATAAAAAATAAAAATAAAAGCACAAACTGCTCCCCCTGGCTCATACTAGCGATTGTTCCCTAGTTTGTGGGAATAAAACTAACAAACAGTGCTCTCGTAGCGGTTGAGGAGAAGGAAGTAGGCATTTGTACAGTTTGGACCTGTGTTCAGGAAGTCGAGTATCAGATTTTAGTTCCAGACACTCGACAACCAGGTCCCTCTGCCTCCTTTCGTGTGAGCAAGATGGCCGCCATTTGACTACACAAACAGCGGCCACAGAGAGAGGGCTTAAACGACTGTTCTCTTTGAAGTCAGGGGGATGGTCATTGTTCGGAGATAAAGGTCCTCACCTTTGCAGGTACTGCTGCTCTAGCTCTGCGGTAGCTAGACCGCCAACCACAAAATAACCCGTTAGGAGAGTGAGACTGACCTATCACCAACGCGGTGTCCTGTTTCATCCTAAGGAAAACAGTGCAGATACTATGTTTTATATATTTGCATCAATGTAAACATACGTATTAAACTTAATTGAACCAAAAAAAAAAAAAAACCCCACACACAAACAAACCAAAACATTTCTACCTATGTTGTATCTTCATGAGATGGGATAAAATAAACAGGCTGTTTAATTCACTATTTTTTTTAAGTGAGGACAGTCCTTGCTGTTTGATAATTATAGCAGTGTAAAAAAACAACAAAAAAAACTAATGATAAATAAGCTATATGCGTTCTCTGTATCTCAATGTAGAGATACTAGCAGCAGTTTGTGAAAGTTAGCAAACAAACTCAGATACTTTGCATCACTATGTACATAGAGCCTTGACAGTTTTACTTAAAGGACCACTATAGTGCAAAAAAAAAAAAAAACCCACCCACACATGTTTTCCTGGCTCTATGGGGTCATTGGGTGTACCCCACCCTCATGTTCCCCTCCCACCAGGCTCTAGGGGGAGGAATGGGTCAAAATCTTACTTTCTCCAGCGCCAGGGACTCTCCCTCATCGGCTAAATGTGCGGAAACCCCCCCCCCAAAAAAAAAAAAAAAAAAAAAAAAAACCCACACACCTCTAGTAGCTGTCAATGAGAGCCATTAGAGGCTGGATTAACCCAAATGTAAACTTAATTTCTCTGAAACTGCCATGTTTACAGCAGGCAGGGTTAACCTAGATGGACCTGGCACCCAAGACACTTCATGCCTACAATATTGTTTCAAATAGAATAAGTCACAAAAGACCAAGTCTTAATTTAGTTTTTATTAACTGTACACCAGAAGGCACCAACAATCAAGCATACATTATTGCATTAATTGACCATGTCCTATGTGGATTAGATGCCCTTAATCACATTCCAGCCTACATATGGAGATTGTATACAAGTGATCCACCTCAGCCACTGTAGTCTTCCTGAGTGACCATCAGGTTGTAGTGAGTGACCCCTTTCCATGTTCCCTGGATGGTGGTTTCATAGCCAAACAGGGTACAGATCTTGGCAGTGTATGGCACATCCATTTGTGCTTTTGTGACAGAAGCCATCATACGTATAGACTTTCCAGCCGGCACCTCTACATCCGTGCTGGCTGAGAAGCTAGTCTGTAGATAGAAACATGCATTAGAATGGAGGGTTGAATAGCAGGTGTTTAAAAGAAAGCTTCCATTCATAACACTAGTTCTGTTGATTGCTAGAGTGAGTCAGGAACAAAAAAGGTAGTGTCGCTGGCTATGTTGAGGGATTAGACCTTCATATTAAATATATTAAAAAAAACATTTTGAAGACAATAAATCAGATATTCTGAAGTAATGTAAAGGTGGAAGATGTGTAATTGGACAGACAGGAACTGACGATTTAGAGGATCTGCACAGAATGGAAGGAGCATGTGGTAAGAGGCAAAGTTAAAATGCACATCAGCTTGCAAAATTTGCCACAAAATGATACTCCGTGGCCAGTATGCAGACAGATCCCAAAACCCAACTAGCATGTCAGACACATACCTGTGTTTCATTGGTCTTTGAGAAGCTCCAGGTGTGAGTGGTACTGGTGTTGATGGAAATGCTTGTCTCCATGTCACCTATAAAGGGGATGCCAGCAGTAAAAGTGACCTCTGCTCCAACTTCTACTGTAAAGCCATGCTCCTGGGTAAAGCTGCTAGTCTCAGTCATGGTTTTGGAGAATCTAAGAAGAATTGAAAACCACTGAGCTAGCAGAGTATACAGCTTACACCGAGTGGAGTATACCCTCAACCTCCAGTAACAAGTTTGGAGGGATATTACAAACCAATGTAAAGCAATACATGAGATTAAAAAAAATTAAACTGGCAGAGTGTTAGGATGCAATGAAAAGTAGTCATTAAACTGGAAAGTGAACAGGGTATTTGGAGTCTAGAATATGATGCATTTGAGAAGCATGATGATATTTGCCTGTTATTAGCCCATTTTGAGCTTATGGGAACATTAAACCCATCTGTAAGCAAGAGTGTCAGGCTAACATTCAGCCTATACTTACGAGAAGGAGTACTTTAAGGGAACGCTGCTCGTATTCTTGTAGATTTGAGACTGGACCACCTCTGGCTGCTGAGAGAGTATTTTACCTGATGCAGGTAGGAATTCAAAGCTTACAACACTCTGGATGGTTTTATCAGCAGTGAAGGCTAGAAAGCGGTACATATTATAGCTCCAACCTAGGAGGTCAGCCTTATCCAAATAGTTGGTATCATCTTTAGTTGGAATTTTCCCTTTATAGATGTTGCCATTGCGTGAATCCACACACCACAGTAGGTCATCAAGGCTGATCTTCATGAAGTGGGTGAGAATTCGCCAGCCACCATCTCCAATAGTGGTGCAGGAGTCAAGCCATTTATCGTTTGTTGTGGATGGAGGGCTTCCCACCACAAGCTTGTCACCATCGGTCACAGCATACAGATTGCCTTTTTGGTCAAAGAAAAGCGCATCATGTTTATTCCAACCAGAGTTTCCTATCTTGGTTGCTTGACCATAACGCCAGGACACATTTTCATTGCTTGGTGCTGGACCCTTGTAGAGCTCCCCATCTTTTGTAGCTGCATACAGAAGCCCATTTGGGTCAAAGAATAGAAATTTAAATTGAACCCACTCAGCTTTTCCCACTCTCTTGGCAGTAGAGAACCAGTCAAGGTTTGCAGACAGAGGCATAGGCCCAGTATGAAGATCCCTGCCACGGACAGCAAAGAGCTGCCCTTCAGGGCTTAACACAATCTTGGTTACATTATTTAGCTTCCCTACAGCAGTAGATCTGTCGTAGTAGCTATCCATACGATCCTTGGGCGGTAGGCCAGCTCTAGCCACATAGTCACTGCTGATGGCAAACAGGATGGTATCTGAAATTAGAGGAAACACTGTTTTATATATTTGGAAGAAGAACTGGCTGAGGTTAAGATCTAGCATAGAGCAACAGCAGGACTTATCACAATAAAGTCAGCAAGTTTTTAGTTATCTTAATGAAGACTTGAGATTGTTCCCTTCCATCTTGCACAAGTGCCTTCTCTTATGTAGAATGGTAGAGCAGAGATAAACCTAATGTCCCTTGTAAACAACTAAGAATTAGTATACCAATTAAGAACTACATACTTCCATGTCCCCATTCACATGTGCGCACAGATACAGACACTGAGTATAGCTTTAACATTCCATTAGTGCTGCAGTTTACACTGATGCATTAAAAAGGGTTGACTAGCTTGGTTACATTGGAAGATGGGTAATGTAGCGTAAAGCATTTTAGTTTCAGACATTGCATGACAGCACTATGAGGACATTAAACATAACTGAGCACCCTTTATTCCCAACTTAAAGTCTGAGAAAAAAAAAAAACCCACACCACCCCTCCCCAACCCATTCAGCTGGGTCAGCCAGGTATCAGACTAAGCAAGTTGACCAGTTCAATAAACCAGGCCACAAAGTCATTGTCCCCTCCAAGCAAACTCCATATCACAAGTCTTCACACAGATTGCTGGACATAGAATGTCACATTACCATTTATAAAGACAAAACATCAGGCATATGTTGGAATATAATCTGTCCTTTGAGATTTACACTCTAGTGTAAAGCTCACCATTTCACCACAATGGTCCTTCCAAAAGGTGGGCATTAAACCTATGTGACACCCATCTCAGATCTTTGATTTGCTATGCTTGGGGGCACTTGCCCCAAGCTGGACACATGTCTGACACTAACTTCATTGCCAGCATCTGAAGTAACATACATCCATTGCTGTAATCAAACTAGCACAGTGGAGATCAGAGGCACCTGCTATGGGAGAGCTCACCTACTCACCATGTCTCAATTCCTCAGCATTGGATGTCTGGTGAGAAGCTGAGAAATGGTATTCGCTGTCTTTTCCACATAAACCCATTTTGAAGTAGATTTCACCTTATCCAAAACATTAGACAAATGACAGATGGAAATTGAAGCGGATAAAAAAAAAAAAAAAAATTAAATTATTGCATTATATCCATATTTTAGGATGAAATACCTGGTGTATCCATTATCACAGATATCAAAAAACAAACTCCTAGATCTCTAGAAACCCAGCAGGACAGCTCTGGAAGTTTCTGGCTTTGGAAGATCAAGAACTGTTTCCAGATAATTCTGTACAACAATCCTCTACCCAGTCCATCAGCTTTATAGTCTGGCCCCCTCCCTAAACACAGCTGAATGTGGTTTGTTTGAAGACTCTGAGCAATGATCTGTTGGTTAATCTGGTAGGAGAATGGTTAGCTAATCACTAGACTTGGGCACAAATCACTTCCAGTTACATTGATCAAATCAAATGTCTTCCAATTAATGGTCAAATTAATTGATTTGCTCTGAATTGGCTAATTAATCCATTTGTTAATCGATTAATAGGTATTTGATTCGCTCAACGCAGCTGAAAGGGATTTGTGCACAAGTCTCCTAACTACGTCTACATGTTAATGGACTGTACATAAAAAGTGCTTCCCTGAAGCTTGTGGCATTAATAGGCTGTAGTTGGGAAACCACCAATCAAGGCAGTTCCTTTGCAGTTCTTCGTTGAGCCATAAAGTTATTTCCCTTCTGCAGCAAATGATTTCTACATGCTACAGAGCAGCACTTTTCCTGCACTGCCCTACAGCATGAAGAATTCACAAGTGTCAAAGAAAGCAACCCTGCTTATGGCGACTATTGGGTCCGGTGAGGCTGTTGCTTGACGAATACAGAATCAAGAGTTAGAAAAAGTAATAGAACTCTACTTTCATATAGCACATATTCCAGAAATACTAGATTATGTGGATTTATATCATATTATATAAATTGTCAAAAAAAGTATATATAAACACACCAATCCTCAATCCAATGTCATTTAAATATCTTTTTTTGTGCATCTTTTTAATTTTCAATTACCTAGTGGGGATTTATTCTTATTTTTGGTGATGGTTTTCTGGGACTTAGAGTGTATTAGAAGTAAATAAACTTCATAGGGTCCATTAGTTAAACTATGGTCCTTGCTGAGTCTAGACTTTTATAGATTAAGGGACAGTTTTCATTAGTGTTACTGTTTCTGACAATGTAGGATTTTTCTAGATTTTTACTGTTATGTGAATGCCATCCTCGGGCTGTTGCTGATCACAGAGCATTGTTCCACTTTCAGTGTAGGATGATCCAGTGTATAGGGGGGAGACTGAATTCAATGTTAATCGCAATTAAATGGTGATGCTTTAATGGGTTTAATTTATATGCTTTCTTAAAGAAATTAGTTTTTAATGATCTTTTAAAGGAACTGAGACTGGGTGAGCAGGGAGAGTCCTATAGGAAAGGCGCAGCCCTACAGAAATCTTAAAGGTGGGCATCAGAGGTGCGAGTACAAACAGGTAATAGACGCAGATCTTCAGAAAAGCGCAGGGGCCTGCACGGAAACATACTCACATATCAGTGAGGATAGGTAGGTAGGAGCAGCATTATGTAAAGATTTGTAAGCAAGCACCAGAATTTTAAATTAAATCATATATCTTATGGGAAGCCAGTGTAAGGACTGACATAGGAGGTGTGGGCAGACAGGAAGATGAGCCTGGAAGCTGCATTTATTATAGATTGTAACAGGACCGACTCGGAATGTGTAAGACCGAAGAGATACTGTATGTGCAGCATTGACCCAGGAAGCACCTCTAGTGGCCATCTGAGTGGCTACCACTAGAGATGTTACTAGGCAACAATGTAAACACTGCCTTTTCTCTGACAAGGCAGTGTTTACATTAAAATGCCTGAAGGGGCAGACTATACACACTAAAAAAAGCTACATTAAGCTGTAGTTGTTCTGGTGACTATAGTGTCTCTTTAAATGTTGAACCAATTATGGTAAAATTAGAAATCTAATTGCTCAATGTAAAAATGAAAAATCCTAGGGGGGCGTGGCCAACTGCAGCACGGAGAAGCCGTATGGTTTGATAGCTTTGTGAACCAAAGAGCCCAAAGCGACTAAAAACAAGCTGAAACAGCAACAAAAACCCATAATCTGAGACTTCCTGATCCAGAGAACCAGATGGCTCCCTCCAAACAGTTAAATCTTACAGACCTGATGCAGCAAAGTAAAAAAGGCCGCACAAGACAAATACAAGATGGCGGCGAACTTATGCCGCACTCACCTGCTGACGGTCCTGCAGAATCGGCGATACTCTCTCTCTCTCTGGATGATATTCTGGTAACCAACAAAAGTCTACATAGCATGTTGCAAGAGCTCAAGGCATCTCTCAGAGCTGACTTTTGTCAAATATCCACAATGAAGTGGTGGATAAATTGCAGGTTGGAAGAGGAGCAGCCCACAATGAAATATAAAATGGGCAACATGGAGGAAGGGCAAGGCAAAATAACATCCGCTTTCGCAGCATAGCAGACGCCATTTCCACAGAGGCCTTGCCGCAACACCTCAAGACCCTATGCAAAGCTCTTGTACCTCACTTAGAGGATGGCACATGGATTTTTGACATACTACACTGGCTCCCTAGACCTGCCTGTTTTACTACGGACATCCCAAAGGACACCATTGCTCGCTTCCATTATTACAGTTCCAAAGAAGCACTGCTGAATGCTCCAAGGAAACTTCTCTCTATACCTGAGCCTTACCAAGGGATACATATCTATGTCGACCTTTCTGCAACCACCATGGTGTGAAGGTGTCAGTTCATCAATGTGACTAAAACACTACGCAACAATAATATCCCATACAGATGGGGATACCCGACAAAACTGTTGGTGTGGCATAGAGGCAAATCAGTGGCTATTCTGGAGCCAGAGGTGGGAATGGCAAAGCTTACAGAATGGGGCCTCCACAATGCTATAGGCCATGCATCGCCTCAAAGGTATTCGCTGTCTTTTCCAATCACTTGAGTATCACACAAATTCTACTGTTGCCATGTTATATATAGTTGTTGTTATTTTACGATTGATGATCCAGTTTGGCTAATGTGATCCAAATGAACCTAACTGGTTGGGTTGGTACAGGGAACACCAGGGGTCAATGGGGGCTAGGCAACATTTTGATTAGTCCCTTGAAGGCACAGTCATGAGACACAAGGTATGAGTGCTTTAGGCCTAGGTAACAGAGGGCCGATTGCTCCCACGGAGTGAGTGGAAAGACCTTGCCATAATACAGGTTCAATAGCCACGTAAAGGCCAAACGTGTTGTCTGCATATGCCTAGTTTACGCTCCAGCAACCTCAAAACTCACTCACATGGCAGGCACTCACACAGTTCTCCCACCCATTTTTCCTATGGAGGCCCATTATTCCCAGAAGGGGAGAGAAAGCACAATCTGTCAGGCCTGAGCCGGCCTCTGCAATACATGAAGCCCCTGTACAGCCTCAGGATGTGGATTCAGTGCCCCCCATATAAAGCATTAACTGCTGAGATAACCGAAAACAGATATCACTACTACTATTTTAGGTGGGGAGGCTAGTTCAGAGACAAGGAGACCATTTGGATGTCCCAGATAAGTAACATAATCTACTTAAAATCACCCAGCTGTAAAACAACAGGACAGGATTACTTGAGTTAGATCCAAGCACAATGGTTGAGCTTACCTTTAAACTGTTCAAGTGTGATACAGATTATGGTTATTATAATGTTTACTTCTGTCTATGCAACTTTTCATAATGGGCTAGATATCAGTGGTATAATTGCCATCCCTCCTGCAATGAAAAATGGGGTGTATTGTCATTTAAAAAGTCTATTTGGGCTTATTGGATTTTGAAAACACTTTTTCTGCCTCTTTAATTCCATGGGAAAATGTGCCTCTTCCCCTCCCCCTTTTTCCAGTTCCATTATTCTCCAGCAGGGCTTTGTCCCAGGGACACTGCCTGACCAGTTGAAACTGGCTGCTTCGTACCTCCTCAGTCTCTCATCAGCCCTTGCTATTGTTTAACCAACTATATTCGTGAGATCCGAGCGCCTTTCTGACATATTGACCACTCAGAGCCAAGCTATCTGGGAATATGTTGGACATATGGGTTAAACATTGTATTATATGAGTTTATGTAGTTTTTGTAACAGTTTTTGGAGAGATATGTTCTGTACCTGGAGATAATTGGCTTACCACGCCCACTTAAGCCAATTATCTCCAGGATAGAGGAGAAGATAGACTGGCTGCACAGCCTAAATCTGTGGAACTGTTTTGAGCATGAAAGCCATGCTTGCAGACACTCAAATAGGGCTTCCAACTATCTTTTGAACCACTGTACCAAATTGTATGATTTTTGAATATGTTTGTATACTGATTATGCTTGTATACTAATTCATTTTACGGAAATTGCATGTATGATTTTAAAGTTATGAATATTGTGTAAAACTGTATATTTTCCTGCCTGTGATAATTAAGTTAGCCCATTGTGTTCCGTAATTATATCACAGGCAGAGGGGAGGGTTTGTGTGCCTTGGCTTGGAGTGTCTGACTGTACTGTTCTGTTTTGATTGGCTATTGTACCTGCATGTCCTGTGTACCACCAGGCCCACGTGGGTGGTAACCGGGTCAGAAAACCTGTATAAAAGAAAGTCCTTTGGTGCTCATTAAACAGTTCTACTTGACCCTCAACTCGCAGCTTTGACTCGTGTTTGGAGGGGACAGCTATAATCACTACAGGGATTGCTGTGCTCTTCATACTCCCTTAGCTACTGAGCTCTTGTAAGAGCTCTTATTCCTGACCTGCTTTGCTCTACAGAAGGAAGAGGTTCACCCACTGGAACCTGGTAATAGGTTCAGGGTGGATAGCAGACAGCGAGATCCCAGCCTAGCAGCGGCGGTTCGTGGAGTCTGCAGTACTTATGGTGTCTACGGTGCTGATGGTCCTTTGGTGAGCACTAGGAGCATCCTTTCTACAGTCCAACTTTCAGCTAGCCTGGAGG